GTGGGGGACGGCGGCGCCTGCTGCCCTGCTGTCCCCCGAGAGCCCTTCTTGCAAAAGGGCCTTCGGTGCCTCCCCCTTTTTGCTTCTGCTTCCAGCAGCRAGGCCGGGCTGGTGGCCCTGGCTGGTGGGGGGGAGCTGGGGGGGTGCCCAGTGCCCGCGGTCCCGCTGTCCCTCCTGTCCCTGCCAGGCTGCGAGAGGGGACCCGCAGCGGTGCCCCCAGCCCCTTGCCAGGCGCCGGCGCCGCCGGCAGCCCCGCATAGTGCGAGGGGAGTGATGAGAGGGGCTGCGGATGCCGCGYGCGCCGGCGGGGCCGGGTTGGGCTGCTGCTCCGGGCGCTGCTGCCGCTCCTGCTTTTCCGCAGCCAAGAGCCCGTCCCGGCTCCTGCAGGCCCCCCATGTGGATTCCCCTGCAGGAATCCGGGTGTGGATTGGGCCCCCCAGCAGCAGGGGGACTCTGGCCCCCCGTAGCCCCTGGCGCTCAGCCCTGCCCGGTCCCTCCTGCCATCGCAACCAGCCCAGGCTGCAGGTCTGAGTGCGGGCCTGGAAATGTTGTTTTTTCCTTATTTTGCCACCTTTTTTGAAGCAGATGCTGCCCRTTGCCTTTCTGGGCTGCCGGCATCRGATCCTCCACGTTGACACCAGCCGTGCCCACCTTCCTGCAATGGGGGTGGTGGGAGGACAACCTGGTGCAGGCGACTGGGAGGAAAGGGGCAGCTCCATGACCAGGGGATGCGGAGAAAAGCCTGGAAAAGTGGGGAAGGGACCCAACCGCAGAGGCAGAGCCCGTCGCCGGCCCCCTCTGTAACCTGACTTGTCTTTTCTGGGCGCACGGCGGGAGCCTCTGGCGATGCTTGAGCAGCTGGGAGTAGCGGTAGGAGAGCTGGGGCCCGCGGCCGCCCGTGCTCCCGTGCGCTGGGGCTTGTGCCCCGTCCCCGTGGCCGAGGGCGGCGGTGGCGGCGACGCTCTCCCCGCTGGAGCTGCCGGGATGTGAGTGTCCGTGGAGCTGGGCGGSAGGCCGGGGCGGCGGGGGCAGCACGACCCCGAGCCGGGTGTCTCTGACAGTATTAAACCCAGCTGAAACCTGGGGCTGCCTTGTGCTGCTGGTCCGTCCCTGCCGCGCRCCGGCCCTGGGGACAGCAAGTGTGCGCGTGGCGGCCGTCCCCAGAGCCCGTCCTTGCAGCCCCTCTCCGAGAGCTGTGTCAGGGCTTCCCCCTTCCCCTGCCAGCTCCTGAAGCCCTGGTGGGAGCAGTGGGGATTAGGGAGGARTGGGTGACAAATAGACCAGCAGCAGAGCGGAGCGGCACAGCCGGCCCTGTCCCCATCCAGACGTGCCGACCTTATCGGGCAGAGATAAAAGCAACTCGCTCAGCGTCAGGCCAGCCGAGTCCCAGGGTCCTGYGCAAGGGACACGTCCCCAGCGCCTTGGCTCCTGCCTGCCCTTGTCATCCCCTGCATGGGCAACCTCCCCGGTGTCCCAGACGGACCCATGGCAGGAGCAGGAGAGGGGCAGTCCCAGGAGCCTTCCTCTTCCTGCACCCCTTTCCTTATGGAAGGGAGAGGGCTGGGCACTCTTTGCAGTGTGGAGCCTCTCTCCACTCAGCTGCATCCCTTGGAAGCTCTTCCTGGAAGCAGGACATGGGGCAGGGGAGCAGGAAATCCCATCACAGCAGCATCCCTGCTGCCACGGGAGCCCGGGGCTGCTCCTCGGGAAGCGGCCGCAGGAAGAGCATCCTCTTGCCCCCCAGGACACCTCACACCTCCCCCTGCCCTTCCCTGGGACCGGCCTCCCCCYGCAAGCTGAGCCCGGAGCCAGGGACTCCCGCTGGGACCACAGAAAGGCTCAGAGATTGGTACGGGTACCYGGGCGAGATTGGCGGCTGTGCAATGGCCGGTGCTGACGCAGACGGGTACCCCAGGCTCTTAGCACAGAGCAGCACCAGGCCCCGAGCACAGGGCAGCACCGGGTCATGTCCCCGTGTCCTGCCGGGGCCAGGCTGCCGGCAGCGCCGGGGCACGGGGCACCACACAGCTTTTTCCTCAGCTCTCAAACGACAGGGCAGGTGCCTCGGTGCCGGGCCAAGGGGCAGCGCGGTCCGACGGGGCCATCTGGGCACGTTGCAGAGCCCGGCACAGGGTGGGAAACAAGTGGCCTGGCCGGCACCCGCAGTGCCCGCCATGTCCCGCTCCGCCACCCTGCCGGAGCAGCCGGCGTGACGGGTGCTGGAGATGCAATCGCGCCACTGAGCGCTGCGGAGCAGAGCGCTCCGGCGATGAAAGYGGGCGGCGCGCCGGGCCGCAACGCRCCGTGCCCARCGGCAGCCCGGCGGGCAGCGTGGGCGCCCGGCGCTGGGGCAGAGCCACCCCGAGCGCGGCCGCTGGAGCCCGCGGCCGGCCTGATTCCCTCCGCGATTATATTCCATGACTCACTGCAGAGGGAGATCAGTGATGTGAGACCCAGGTCCTGCAGCTGTCCCCAGCCGGGCTTCCCGGAGCACGTGGAGCCGGCCAGGCTGGGCTGGCAGATAAGGGCCCTTCCGGGCCGGGGAGCCGCTGGCTCCTTGCTATCGGCCTGGCGGAGGGGGCTGCGACCCGGGCCCCGCTCCCTGCGCCCTGCCCGGCTCCTGCTCACTTGTCCCTGGCCAGGCCCCGCGGCAGCTCCTGCCCGTTCCCATCGGGAAGGGCTCCAGCGGCCCCATCCGCCTGGGAAGCAGCTGTCTGCTCCAGCAGCCGCCGGCACGCGCAGCCAGCCCGGCGGTGGGGATGGTGGGAAGAGCAAGGGGGTTATTTTTGCACCGGTTGTTTTCTTTCCGGTTCGACGCCGTCCTGTGCAGCGGCTGGAGCAGCTCCGGGCCCCAGTGCCTCATTTCCTCGCGGGAAACAACAAAGTGGTGGCCAGACYGCGCTGCCAGTGGGGCGCGGGGTCAGGGCACAGGCTGCTGGTTGGTTCCTCTGCACATCCAGCCTCGTGGGTGTCCCCAGACCCTTCCTGAGAGCCCGATCTGGGCCTTTTGGAGCTGCAGAACATCAAGGCTGCGTGTCCCCACGTGCCACCGGGCGCTGGCGTGATCCACGTGTCACCGTGCTAAGAAGTGGGCACCGCAGTGGCCGTGTTGCCCCTGGCTTCTGTGCCCTGTGGCTGCAAACCCAGCGCTCAGCCGCCCTCTCCCAGCTCCGCTTTGTCCTCCCGGCCTCTCCCAGCTCCGCTTTGTCTCCCGGCCTCGCGCTGGGCTCCGGAGCTGCC